TGAATCAATCTGACTGGATGATCTGGTGAACTGGAAAGTGACCTGAGATGACATGATGTGAATTGGAGCTATAGAAATAAACTGAACAGAATTGAATTAAACGGGAAGACACAAAGGCGTGGATAATAATTTCAAGATCATCTCTGGACACAGTTGTTTTAAGTTTAGATATTTTCCTCAGTTGGTAAAAACAGTTCCTTGTCAGCAGTTTGGAGTGGTGCTCTAAGGACAATGCTCTGGCAGAGCTTTCTAAGGCTTGGTTTAGCAGACAAACTCAAGTCGCCCAAATACTGGTGGATACCTGGAATAGCGTCGTCAGGGGCAATCACCAGCAACTCTGTTTTACCTGAGTTTAGTTGCAGGGAATTTGCACTGAGCCATTATTTAACATGCACAAGACAATTCAGCAGTGAGCTTAACTTCTAGTTCTCTGAGGACTTAAAAAGAGCAGTAAAAGTGGATATCATCAGCAAACAGATGATAGGAAACATCATCAAATCTCTGAAAGATTTTTCCTCATTGAAAGACATAAAGTAAAAACAAAATTGGGCCCAAAACAGCCCTGAGGCTCGACATGCTAACTGATTTCAGCCTGAAGGGCCTTCGTCATGGCGATGGCAAGATGTTTGTCAGGCTGCTCTAATGTTAGCTAAAAAACTAAATGCTTATTAATAGCTCTGCCTAATTCAGCATAGAAACCGTCCCACGCAGTTTATTGCTGTGTTTTTCTTTTCTTTAGACTTAGATCTCATTATGTTTGTAATATATGAACATTCTCTATCTGTTCTGGTTCTAGATGCTGCATAGACATGTTAAGTAGAGCTTTGCTTTACAGAATGCACCGTTTTTTTATTTATTTATTCGTTTTTTTATAACTTTTCATAATCTGTCCCAGTCAAATGTGGGAAATTGTTTTAATATGTGTATAGCACAGACCTAGAAGTGAACAAAATCTGCAAAAAAAAATGTAAAGCATACAATTTAACTAAATAACATCTGAACCAGTGATGCAGTTACATTTCTAAACCCCTGAAAGATTTTTGCCACTGAAATGACTTTAGGATAAATTTTACAATTATGGCACTACTTGGTTTAATCTAGTTCTTTCATTATTCTTTACAACCCCAGATATTATATAAATAGTATACAGTTGCTAATGTTGAACAGCAAACTTGAGTCTTCAGGCTGAATTTTCAAATTTTAACAAATTCCAGCTGATCCTATAGTTTACATTCAGTGTAAAATGAGGCTTTCAGCAGAGCCGTTCTATGTTTTATCTATTGTCATGGTCTGGGTTCTG